TAAAAGAAGGGGCTAGGATGATAGATGTTTGATAGGATAGAAAGACTAAACCACACCCGCCAACGTAACACTCAACAGGTCTGTTATATAATATAATCATTGTAGATGTTTTACGCCTTCATCGACCCAAATAATATAATTTAGGAGCCGAACAGCTTGTCAGGAGTGGTGGGGGGTGGTGGATGGTTGAGAAGGATACAAATTATTAGCACACAGACGGAGATTCTCGATTTTAAAAAGCCATCCCGCACAGGAATCGAACTCAAACCTTCTGCGTTCAAAGGCAAAGCGTCTTGTCGTTGCACTTAATACGGAGCTCTCGTGGCCTAGAGGTTAAGGTGTTGGCCTCTCATTCAAAGGTCCCGGGTTCTTCTCTAAAATTGTCTCCTTTCACCTCCTTTCCTGCTCTCTAGCAATATTCTGTCGTCTGCTTTCGTCTCCTCTTTCTGCCTCCACCCCTCATCTCCTTTGCCCCCTCCTCTGGGCTCCTGACTCTTTCTACAGCCTTTCTACTGCTACTCATTGACTCCTTCTCACAGCTGTCTTTCTGCCACACCCCTGATCTTTTGGTAGGAAAGATCTACACCTAGCCTTCTCGGACAAGGGCGAAAAATCTCGGAGGTCCCGTGTGCAAGTCGCGCACGTTAAAGATCCCTTGGTGGTCTAAAATCGATAAGAGTAGGCTTCGGCCGCCATCCGGGTAAAATTCAAAATTTCCTACCAACTGAAAATATTAGGTGTGTCCCGCGCGCTCATATGACCTTATGCAGCTGCTAGCGCCGTAAAAACACTTACCAAAAAACACTTAATACGCCCATTTCCAGACAGGTTCTTAGACGTACAATAATGCTATCAATATTTTCAAGATGTACGAAGACACGATGGAATCAGGCATTCGTCAATTCTTGGGCATATGGAGTTGTTATTGGTATAATATGAAAACATGTCTATTTGTCTAGCTTTTGATGTAAAATGCCCATATATTTTGAACAGAAGTCGAGATAATTCGGATTGAAGGAGGTGGCAATCGTCTAGTTTCATGGGTAAAATTAGCGAGAAAATGGCAGCTAAAGTTTGTGGCTTCCAAAGGCAAGGCTTAGTCCTTACAAACTGCAATTCATTAAGGTGTTTAGTGTCTTTCATCAACTTTTTTTCAGTGAAATTCACTTAGAAATTTGTTTTTATTTACATGGTCATAAAAGGTGTTGAACGAAAGGAACAAAAAAGAGGAAAATTACTCAACTGACGGAAAAGATGATGATTGCTTCAATTTCATTATTCTGACGAGCGCTTGATTTTATCTCGGTAACAAACAAATGATTATATATCATTCTTGGACGTTTAGCCTCTATCGAATAGAGTTTCCAGCCATATAATATATGCTATTTGTTGATTGGCTCAAAAAAGCACCAAAACATGCGTAGTCGGTGTCTCTGTAAGCAGATAACAATGGTTCAAGTTATGCCCTGTTTGATTGGAGTATTTAGGAAGCAGGCTGTTCCCATATCGGTGAGCAGAGCCAACCTGAGCTGAATGGGATACAGCATCCGAGCAAAACAAACAAACAAACAAAATACTACCCCCCACCCCCCTCTCCCGGGAAATAATATGCTCGAAGAAATAAAATTACTCCAACGGGCTGGTCAAAAGCACAATAAGTTAAATAGAATTGTTGAACGTTAAAGTTCACTCTTTTGAAATACATCTATTTCCCCTCCATTTAACTGAACACGAGAGCTTAGAAATCTGCATTAAGACTTGTCCAGTTAAACAAGCCCTAAATGTAGAACCAAGATTACTGTAAGGAACCTAAAATGGTGGCAAATGAGGCACTCAAACATATGAGCGAACTACAACAATGCTGATGTACAGCATGAACTGTTTGTTTTCCTTCGCTTTTACTTTTGCTTTTGGATTTCGCTCTGCTAACCAGTGATTCACCCATGTTAGAAATCTCTATCGATGAACACAATATTGTCTTTTTACGTCAAAAACACTGCACCAACTGACACGCAGCTCGGTTGCCAATATGAACAAACAGCCTGCGGCTTGCACTTTGGTTAACTCATTTCCTCCACCAGTCGTGTTTTCTGGATATTGTGACCCATGCCTTGAGGCTTGATAAATTCTTAATTTTATCCCCCACCTTTCTTCTCTCTTTTTTTTGGGGGGGGGGGGGTAAGTGTTTTACGGCGTTCACAACTGCATAAGGTCATATGAGCGCGCGGGACATACTAAACAAACATTTTCAGTTGTTAGGAAATTTGAATCGCTGTTTCATGCACAGGTTGTCATCCTATGAACGGATTTATTTTACTTTAGTTATTTTTACACCCCCATCGACACAATTTAGATAATTTAGAATGCGGGCTTCGACGCTGGGCTAGGAGGGACATAACATCATAGCAGGAAGACTGAGATACTGGATAAAAAATTCCCCATTCGTGAATCGTACTCGGGTCTCTTGCATAAGATGGCAGGGCGCCTTACTGCTGCACAA